AATGGACACAGACACTGGGGCGGTGGGGGCTTGCCCGGGGTGGGAATGGTTGGGGCGGGGGCGGGCAATTGGGAATAAAGGAGACATATGTAAAACTTAAGACAATAAAAAATAAAATAAAATAAATAAAATAAAATAAATGATTTAGGGTGAACCTACTAGGCTTTGGCCTATGCAAAATGAGGAAGTAGGTACAGGTTACTTTGAATTTTGCCCATTTCTCCCATGAGATTTCTTTCTATTGCTGGTCAAATAGATGGTTCCCCAGACCTCTGTGGTTTGGGAAGCTATTTACTCCCTACTTTCCACATACTCTGCTACAAGAAATTCGTATAGTATGTTCCTGACTGAATCTCCCACAGCCTTTGTCTGGAACTTCAAATCCAAATGGCATCTGGAAGGAACAGTGTCTTGGACACTGACAATAATACCTTTACCTATCCCTCAACTCTCAATGGAGTGAGTAAATAATGACTTGGGCTCCCACCTGTAAAAGTCAGCCCTCCATAATTAATGACTAATAAATGTTAAGTGCTGTGATTCTGAGGCATTATTCATGTCTCACCAAATGACATCATTATCCTAGTTCCCCAGTGTAGAACCAAGGAGTCATTCTAGCTCTTTGTCCCCCTAATTGAATTGAATCCATCACCAAATCCTGTCAATTTTTTTCTCAAAAACGTCATTGGGAGTTCATCTACTTCACTCTGTCTTCTTTATTGCCTATATAGCAACTGAACTTTCATGTTTATCTGTGAGGTTGTAAGCTCCATGAAAGCATGAATCTTTCCTGATTTCCTCCCATTGTTATATCATTATTGTGTGGCACACAATGATTATTCAACATATACCTGTTTAGTGAATAAATGAGAAGCTACACTAAACCTTAAATCTGTGTACAGATTTGTACAAAAATGAAAGGGAAATAATAATGATAAGAAAGAATAAACATAAGCTAAAGAATAAAATAACTAGTATGACTTGTAGGCCAAAAATAAGATGGACTAGAAATGAGGATAGATTTTGTGTAAATGGTAAATAACTTTCCATGGAAGGCATAGGAAACAGAGTTTATGGGAAAGTGGAGATTTTTCAAGCAGGATGGTGATAAATTGGAAGGAAAAGTTAAATATGTACTAGTTGAAGCAAAAAAGCTAGTATTAATTCAGATGTGATATGATGAGGACCCGGATTTGGAAGGTAGCAGTAGGTTTTACAAGAGAAAGTTTCAGAGAGAGAAAAAATGTTTTAAAGAAAAAGAACTTGGGTCATTGTCAGTGAATGTGGGGCATGGATATCACTCTCTCCATGTATTTTAATGAATTTCTCTAGACTTATTTTGACTTGGCAATGAAATTCCAGATACATTAATTTATAGTTATTTTTAGTAATATCTATGTATTATAGGAAATAAAATATGAAAAAGTGCTCTAAACCTGGGTGTTTAAATTTCAACCACTTTGATATTTTGGATTGGACAGTTCTAAGACATGGGGGCTGTCCTGTGCATTGTGGGATGTTTGGCAGCATCATGGCCTCTAGCCCTTAGATGCCAGTAGCATCTGCCTACCCAGTTGTGACATCAAATATGTCTCTAGCCCTAGTCAGTTGGCTCAGGGGATAGAGCGTTGGCCTGCAGACGGAAGGGTCCTGGGTTTGATTCTGATCAAGGGCACATGCCCAGGTTGCAGGCTCCATCCCCAGGAGGCAGCCTATTAATGATTCTCATCACTGATGTTTCTATCTCTCTCTCCCTCTCCCTTCCTCTCTGAAATCAATAAAAATATATTGTAAAAATACATCTAGACAATGCTAAATGTCCCATGAGGAAGGTAGGGAAAAATTTCCTCTGTTGGAGAACCACTATTCTAAAAGTAGAGTCCTATAAAGTGCATAATATCATCATTATAGGAAGAGATTAATGGGGGTCAAGGGGAAGGAGGATCTATGTAATTCTTTCAACAATAAAGATTTTTTAAAATATCATCATTATAAATAGTTACTATTAAAAAACAAACACATTTTAAATTTACTTCAGAAAGTGAATTTTTAAGGAAAACACATCTTATGTTAAATGTAAACATCATTTTTAAAGGGATGCTTAGAATGGAAGGAGTAAACCTTTAAATGTACTTACATTGAGTTCTAAAACGATTCCAAGGCAATCAATCAGCAATGACACGAACGTGGCTATGGTGATGATAACCACTGTTACGATTATGTGGAACACTGATGAAAGATTCCCACCAAAAAATACATTGGCAATTACCTGCCAAATAAACAGATCATTTAGAAAGGGATTCACAGACACAGGCAGGATTTATTAAGAGAGTATTTCATATTATGGCACTTAGGACTATATAAAATACTGCCAGTCTAAATTTAAGCCATATGAATGTTGTACATTTTCCCAAGTACTTACACATAGACATACACACATCAATAACAAGGATTCTTTGTTGAACTATTATACAGGCAGTACATAGCATACTAATGTGTGAATAAATATATTTCTCAAGTGTAAGAAAGACTTTTGAAAGTTGCCTATCATTCTTCCTTGAGTCCAACAAGGTTACCACTAAGACAATCCACAGATGCTACTGAGATTATTTGAATGATCTCTAAGAAAGGAGTTACCATAATTTTCTTTAATAATAATGGATGTGTAATATCCTTTACTGACAGGAAACTAGTTTTATGAAATCTAAATCCTATTTGATACAAGTTAAATCTATTTTATCTTGCCTTTCTTCAACATAAATGGAGAAAAGTTGATCATCATTTTCCACTGATACTTAGATTAGGAAATCAATCAACAGTTAACTATTTAATATGTCCTATACTGTGATATGTTGGCAAAGAGAAAATGTCTAGGAGCTTTATTTATCTAGCTCTGTCTGTCTTAAAGTAATTGGCTTTACAGCATTACTGAAATGTGCTTTTCCTACCTTGTCTTGAGGTGGGGCTGGACACATGGATAGGATTTAGAGCAGAATTATAAACTGATGCAACAGTGTAAAAAATAACAATGAGGTAAGAACAGGAATGAAACGTATGAAGGACAAAGAGGAGACAGTCTCAACAGGATGGTGACTGCGCCACAAAAAACATGAGGCAAGAATTGGAAATGGTAGGAGATCGCCAGAGGGTGGGGGACCTTCACAAAGCCAACTCTCTAAGCTGTGATAAGTAAACGTCCTAAATAAGTAACATTCCCCATAGAGGGATACCACTGTAACCTCGGCAATAATGTAATGGGGATACTAATAACTTTTACTCATTTATGGTTTTACAATTGGTATTGTCTTTCCAAATATTAACTTGCTTAAGATTCGTTTTTATAGAGGCCTCTATGATAGAATTGTAATTGTGGAAAGTCACTAGTGAGGCAGGATAGTGAGACACGCGTTTGGACACCCTTGTATGCGGCTGGCTGCTTTACCTATAACCAGAAATGGCTGTGATTATGTTTTTACCAACTGTATATTTGTGTGTGTGTGCGCGCGTGTAGAAAAAGAAAAAGAAAAAGAGAAAGGAAGTGAATGGGTGAGGTATATGCAAGGTTCCTCTGCCTAGTAATTGTTCTGATGGCAGAGATCTTGATTTTGTTCTGTCTTCCTGTCGTGGCAGCTAGAAAGGAAATACAAGTTCCAAGTATTGAAGACATAGCGGTGCAGGTGGAATGACTCACACTGTCCACAGACAGTTCACCAGAAACCATATGAGGATGACCATCTGTTATTGCTCATCTAGAGATCAGATCTGAAGCTAAAGTACTGGGCAGAAGCTAACATAAAACCATTTCCTGCCTCCAACTTTAGTCGGCAAAATTCTAAAGGCTCTTAGATTTAAAAAATCAACATAAATTCAGTCTAGGTCAGTGGTTCTCAACCTGTGGGTCGCGACCCCTTTGGGGGTCGAACGACCCTTTCACAGGGGTCGCCTAAGACCATCGGAAAACACATATATAATTACATATTGTTTTTGTGATTAATCACTATGCTTTAATTATGTTCAATTTGTAACAATGAAATTGGGGGTCACCACAACATGAGGAACTGTATTAAAGGGTTGCGGCATTAGGAAGGTTGAGAACCACTGGTCTAGGTCTTCGTTATATTCAAAGTGGAGAACTGACCAGTGAGTTACACATTTGCAGGTGAAGGCAAGTGCTGACTGTAAAGGACCTACATAGTGCTGAACATTTCCCTTATTCCGTGTCCCTGTGCTGTTCCTCGTCCCTAGCATTGGCAGAAGGTAAGCACCGCTCTGCCTCTGAAGCCTGCCCATTAGTGTAGTTAAAGCTCTGTAGGAGTTTCACTTCACACATTGGAGCCATTCACATGGTGCACTGTGTAAACAGCCTCTAGGAATAGATCCTAAGACTAATCCCTTTTCGGTGTGATTCCTGAAAGAACCACTGTGAAGCAGGATCATGTTTTTTTGCTAACTGGTACAGTGGATTTTTAGCTAATTTGCATAAAGGACTCGGGACAAGCCATGTTCTCTAAATTTTATACAAAGAGGATTAGTTCTCTTTCAGCTAATCTTCCTCCACAAACCTAGGTGGACTAGATAACATAACTTGGAGTTGACTTAAAAGTGAAATATATAGAATACTATTTATATTCTTTTATATGGTATATAAATACAAATAAATTTATATAAACATATAAAATATATCCATAAAATGAATGGTTTAAATGGAATTTTGGTTTTCCATGGAAGTAAGATATTTTTGTTTTTAAAATATATGAAAACGGATCAGAATCTGTCCTATGGAGCCTTTAATACATGCTGACTTATAAAATATCTTAGCAAAAAGATAATTTTGTAAAACATGTTTTAAACTTTAGTACTTAATTTCTTTGCAAGAATGTTGTTTTTTTTGTTTGTTTTTAAAAACTTAGTTTGGCTCTATTAAAGACTGGCATTCATTTTGGAATGCAGTTGTGTAAATATTTACACTTATGCTAATATAAATGAAACCAAATCTAACTTTAAAAAAATATATCTTGTAAACACTGAATATAAGTTTATCTTTAAACTGATTGAAAAGAACATTTTGGGAATTTGCAGATTCAGATTATTTACAAATCTTTCTAAATTAAATGTAGTAGAGAGATCCCCTAGACAAAGTGTTGGAAAGGAATTGTGCTTACCTCTCTAGTCACAAAGCATTCAATTGGGTATGTCAAAATGACTGTGACTCCATAACAAAACCTTCCAAAGGTTACCAGGTCATCATTTCTGCAATAATTTTCAAATAAGTCTCCTAGAGAATGATATAAAATAGATTTACTTAATAAATATTATACATTGATATAAATATCTAATAAAGTAGATGGTGGATATTTATTATATCAATGAAGCTACATAAACTTCATTTTATTTAATCCATAGAATAAATTGCCAAATCTAAATAAGTTTTTGAATTCAATAACTATATAATTATTATCTGATATGAAAACTAGTATATATTCCACCTGAAGATTAATTAATCACTAATAGTTTTCCTCTTATTCTCATTTTTTTCTTTGGTAGATTTGCTTAAATTTGTATCAACTTCTGAAAAGTATTTTTATCCATTGTCTTCGTACACCAAAATCAACTCCCTAAATTCCTGTGCATTGGTTTTATAAACTTGCTTCTGGTCTTTGTTTCTGGTAAGTAAGTGACTTCATTATTTTTTTAAAGGGTCTTTTAAAATAAACAAATTTCCTTTTGAAATGCTATTCATAGATCAAGGACAATCCTGAAAGGAAGAGTGGACCATTGCGTCTGGGGAGATGAATTTCCTGTGTATCACACCACAGGGTCTAATCACAAACGCAGGCCACAGCAAGAAATTCCAAACATACATTATCTTTTATGGTATCCAATGAACTCCACTGTATATGCACTGATTCAAAACTGAAAATATGGAAGAGTAGTATATTTCATTAGTTCCAAACTCAATGAGGGACTATATATCCCTTGAACCAGTTCTTACTTAGAGACTGTATTTTCTCAGATACCTCTGTAATCTGATGAGGGCACAAAAGAGGTCAGCAAAAAAAGTTTCCCAATACTGAAACCAAAAAAAAACTTTGGTCTGTTGATTTCCTAAATATAACATACTTAAGTCTTAAAATTTTGGTCAGTTTTCATTAGACTGAATGGGAAATTAGTTCAAAGTCACACACTACTACATTGTTTAAAAAGAAAACAATACTTTTGTACTTTCTTTCATTAAAAAGCAAAATGACCTGCCTCTTCCTAAGACTTATTTCAAGTGACTCTTCTCTCCTCCCACCACCAACTAGAACAAATGTATATTACTTCCTAGTGTTTCTTTGGTGCCGAAGGGGATTAACCACAGAGCAGTAGTGGCAGAGACCTGTTTTAAGGTTGATGGAAAAGGTTCCAGCACTTTAAGAAAACAGGACAGACGCTCCCCTTCACTAACCTCCACTAAAAAATGAGCCTGACACCGATTCAAAAGTCACTGGGAATGTCAAGAACAATCTAGAGTTCTGACTGCCTCCTCACAAGCTGAAATTAATCTACTTAAAGGGAAAAGAAAAGAAGCACACAGTTTGCACAAACAAGACCAGATCTGCCTTAGGTGAAATGGCCTGAAGAAACAATGTCAGCTTTTTCTAGCTTGAGACTAAGTGTGTTTTAGGGAATTATAGCTAGGGAAACACACACACACACACACACACACACACACACACACACACACCAACCCTACCAAACCTGTCAGCTTTGTTACATAAAGATTTAATTGTATCTGAGCAATTACCACTGTTAAATACACCAATGAGGTATGACCAATAAAAAGGGTTTGTGTGTTACAGAGAAGGCATTTAAAAACCAAGGTTTTGTAGAGATTGGAGCCTATAGACCATTCATCTTGGCAAAAATCGTGACACGTGGCAATATTTTGAGAAGATTCTTAACAAGACTCTCAAGGGACTTCATTACTGCACTTTTATGGCGCACACACGTATTATATTTTTACTGCATTGGCCTTATGTTAATCACTCTCTTTTGAAACCATCTTTATTCCTCAAGTAATATCTGTCTTTAATCATAGTCACCTGTAACCTCTGTTTGAAAACTCACCTAAGGGGAGCAGGCGTCTAAGAGACAGCTTTTAATGGGTCACACTTGACCAACATGTGGTAAGCAGCACAAAAAATGAAAATAAAATTGTACTGGAAGTCTGGAGACTTGTTTTCTACTTTGTCACCAGCCAGCTTGGGCAAGTCACTTCTGTTTGTGTTCTAAAAGGGGGTAAAGCTGGTTTTTCCACTTACCTTCATGGAGTTGTTTAAAGGTCAAATGAGCTAATAGACCTGCAAAAGCTGGGCGATTCATGAACCACAGCATTTAGCAGGCTGTCACACTGAGTATCATACTACATAGCTGAGGGAATGTGAGGGTCAAAGGCAGAGAATGGTGACCGCTCAGTTGTTGGGCCTGGCTGAATAGAAGACCAGAGGAGAAAGTTTGATGCGGTGCGGTGCGGTGAGGTGACGTTGGGGGGTAAGGGAAGAGGCTGGTTTTGAGAATAACGATGTTTTGTGTTTAAGGCAAGAATGGAACAACTAAGTAGAAATGTCCTGCAGGCAAGAGGCTGAAGATGGCTATAAACAGTTCTGGACTAGTTAAGATAATGAAAGTCTGCAGAGAATTTGTTAAGAGGAAATAAGGCAACTTGCCTGAACCAATTAATGGGAGGTGGGGGTATAGAGCGGGAGGGATGAGAAAGCAAAGATGAATTACTTGGAGAGAAAAAAATTATTAACAGAGCAAATGAGGGCATGGTAGTGCTCCTTTCTCTTCAGGAGGAAAGGATGTTCAGTACTAATAAGTGATTCAGAGAAGTCTATGAGAATCAGAACCAAGAACAAGATTCTTAGCTTTGATTAGCTTTGAAGCATGGGAGGATATTGCTGTTTTCAAAAATAAAGTTGCAGTGGAGTAGCAGAGAAGGAAACTAGAATTCAGGTACTCTGAAGGGAAAGCATGAAGGAGGGAGAATGGGCTACAGAATTTTAGCAGTTTTGCCGGGCCACTGTGGCTCAGTGGTTGAGAGTCAGGTTGCAGGCTTGACCCCCGACAGGGTGCATGCAGAAGGTATCGGACTGATAATTCTCTGTCATCATTGATGTTACTATTTCTCTCTCCCTCTCTCTTGATTTCAGAGAGGAAGGGAGAGGGAGAGAGAGATAGAAACATCAGTGATGAGAGATAATCATTGACTGGCTTCCTCCTGTACGCCCCCTACTGAGGATTTAGCTAGGGATATATATATATATATTTTTATAGCCCTAGCTGGTTTGGCTCAGTGGATAGAGCATTGGCCTGTGGACTGAAGGATACCAGGTTCAATTCTGGTCAAGGGCAAATGCCCGGGTTTCAGGCTGGATCCCCAGTAGGGGTCGTACAGGAGGAAGCCAATCAATGATTATCTCTCATCACCAAAGGACTTATATGCATGCATATAAGCATAACCAATGGGCACAGACACCAGGGGAGTGAGGGCATGAGCGGGGGGGCAGGGGAGGCTGGGGGAGAAAATAAAAAAAAATATATTTTTTAAAAAAAGAAGTTTAGCAGTTTTAAAATGAGAAAATTAGGAGACAGAAGCAGCAGAGAGGTAAGAGGTAGAGGAAAAAATAGGTAGAAGAGAGAACATTTGTCTGAAGTAGAACATGGGGTATAATTGTACCCAAAATGAAAAGTGATAACACCACTCCATGTGAATACCAAACATGGTAAGACCAAGCCTCTCATTTACCTTGGGTGAAGCCAGTAAATGTCAAGTATCCACATGTAGCAAAGAGAATACTGATAAGCACAGAAACCAAGGTGGACACGTGGATGATGCGGGACCACTTAGCTACTGTGCGTTCCTCCAAAGAACCATACACTAAGAAGCAGTTATGGTGGCAAATAAATGCTGTAAACAAACAACAAAAATCATTATTGAACAAGCACCAGTGTCTTCTTTTTACTTCTGAAAACTCAGAGATGCATGCTACTTTGGAATGAAGATGAACTGAAGTTCACATATACTAATTTATGAGATATATCAAAAAATAATCTTTCTAATAGCTTTGGGAACGAGAAATTTCATTCACATTAGGCCTGTGTAGTCTCTTCATATCACTCTTGATATAAACCAGGCCTATTCAATTTTCTCTCCCATTTTCCGTTTTCTACTGGCCTTTCCAAGCTTAAGGGGAATATAAACAACACTATATTTCCGCTCCACGGCTTCTTTCCCAATCTGTGATGTAACAGAGGCACTTTAGACATCCGGCCAATTCCTAATACTTTGTGTGCAAGGTTTTAAAGAAATCCATAACATTTGCTAGATTTTCAAGTGAAGAAATAAGATGGCTTTTATGAATGTTCTGCATGAGAAAGAGACTTGTCCAAATGGAAGCAAATTTTAGTGATGAGTGAGAAAAGTTTGGGCCTAATTTTATGTTGGCACAAACTAGATCATATGCTGCTAATAGGATGTCTAAGACATAGGACATCTGTTCGCCAGACACAGATCTGAAACACAGCACTTCTTCACTGTATAGAAGACTCCATATTGAGAAAAAGCCTTTGAAACCATATACTCACCAAACGACATGACACCAACAGCCTGAATGGCATTGGGTTTTGCAAATACCCAGGCATCTTCTGTTTTTGGTCTAAAAGATAGTTAATTTAATGAATAATTAAACAGATACAAGCATAACCATATCTGAGAACAAGGAATGCTGTCACAATACAAATGGAATATCTTTATGTCAGAAATAATAAGGGGCCTCCATTAATTGTAAATAAATTCCTTAGGTATATCAATGCTTTCTGTTAACCCCAGTCCTCTAAAAATGCATGTCAAATACTTGGAAAGGCTATATTACCTATTTTCAATATCCACTGATTACTTAATTTTGTGACTATTTGGTCACTAATTTAACAACAAACATTTGTTATGCACTCATTTGATATAATTGAGAAAGGTACAAAAATTAATAATGCAGTGTTATTCCTCAATTAATCAATACTGCCCTTTATTCCCCTCCAACTAATTCTTCCAGATTCATCCTACACAACAGAGATTCAAAGTTGGCACTACTTTATTGAGGAAGGTGGACATGAACTAATGTCAATCAATGATGAACTTAGCCATGTTCGGGAAACTATCTTATGTTATCTCAATCTTCACAATAACCTAAGTATTATTATCACCATGTAATATATTAGGAGAGTAAAGTTCTGGGTGGTCACATAATTGGTCAATCTTCTCAGATATTAAGTGAAGAAGTTGAGATTTCTCCTTGGTCTGTCCATCTCAATATCTCTTCCACACTGAACTCTCAGTCACCTTGTTTCCTCCTTTGGACATACTTCTCAAAAAGGTTGAAAACATATACTCTTTAAGTGACTCAAAGAAGCCTCTTTCTTGGTGAAATTAAAATATTCGCTAGCCTCTCTGTTGGCAGGGATTGGTTTCCCTGATTAACACATTCCCCAGTAATGGTGAAGAGCATAGGCTCCAGGTAGGACAGTCTGTTTGGGTTTTCTGGCTCCTTCCACTTATTAGCTGTGTGATCTTAGGGAAGTTACTTAACCTCTCTGTGTTTCAGTTTTGATATCTACAAAAGGAGGATAATGATAGTACCTTATTCATTGAGTTCATATAAAACTCCTGACAGAGAGCCTGGAATATATTAAGTGTTCAGATTATGCACTGTATTGTTGTTATTATCCACTGTCATGAACTAAAAGGTAGCAAAAGTCTAAAAAGTATGGCTAGTTTCCCTGAAAAAAGAAAAAAGAAAAGATTTAGCAAGACCCAAAGAATGCATGAAATTAGAAGAGGGGGGTGGGGAAGAAAAGTCCTAAAAAGCACAAAGCCATCTATTTTATGTTTGTTATTACTTCTAGAGGTAAAGTAGACACATAAACATACCATTGGTTTTATCAAAGTTAGTGAGATTTATGCATTATGCCATTTCTTTCCACTTTTGAAATGAGCAGATGCAGACACAAAGGAACTAGCTAGCCTCCAAGGGAGGCCTCCAGCTGGTACAAGGCTTGCTCCACTTCCCTTAGTTTTTTGAGTGGGAGTTGCTGCCACCTGCTGCCTCCACTACTACCTGTCAAATTCCAATGTTAATGTGAAAAAACACATATTTTGTCCATGATCTTTAAATATTTTTTTAAAGGCAGTACTAACAGTTGCAGAAACTTGACTATTTTTAACTTTCTAATATATTTTAAATGATGTACTTTTCCTGTTAAAGTATTTGCAGGCAAATAAAACTCATTTTTTTCTGTTCACTATGGATTGTAGTGGTGTCTTTTAAACTATTATATTAGTAATGAAAAGATAGGAGTTTGATATTCATTTTTCTTCTTTATTTAAGTTTTTTAAAATGTTCTTGGCCCATATGGTTCCTTCAGTATATTCCTAGCAAAGATGGAGTATGGAACAGTAACTAGAGATCATTTTGGATGTTCTGTGTTCAGCATAATGATGCTGATTTTATAAGATGTAAAGTACCAAAAAAGATCTTATAGCTTGGGAAAAAAATATGTATACAAATCTAGATAAAGTGACAAAAAAGATATTGAATATGGCTTTGCAATTGTTTATGAAATAGCCTGTGATTGAGTTCTAGACAACCATTTCAAGAGAAAAAAATGAAAAAGTGTCTTTTTATATTTTATGAGATTGCTGAAACCTTGATACCCAATGTGGATGAGAAAATGAACATACAGATTGTTCTGACTTTAGGCTTCGATGCTGAAAGAGAAAATGAAATCTCAAATGCAATCAAGAAAATAAGTAAGAAAAAATCATGACTAAAAAGAATTTTTCCAATAAATGCAGGGGTAGTTCAATAACTGAAGAATCTATTAATGTAATTCATCACATTAACAGGTTAATGGAATTAAAAGCTAACACCATTGAAAAATATTTTGAATAGCCTATAATCCAGTATTTATTTTGATAAGCAAAATATTAATAAATAGAACTTCCTTAACCTAATAGAAATATGACATACTTAGAAGTGGCAAATTATCAATATTACAGTTAAAGATGGAAACCAGATAAGGATATTCACCATCACTTCTTCCATAATACATGTGTTAATTCTAGGGGAAAAACAAGTATGTAAGAAGAGAAATACTGTATAATTCCACCTATATTTTATTCCAGAAAAGACAAAACTATGAAGACAGTAAAAAGATCAGTGGTTGCCAGGAGTTGGGGTTTAGGGCATGGGATGAAGAGGCAGAGTGAGAGGAATTTCAGGGCAGTGAAATACTCTGCATGATACTATAATGATGGAGGCATGTCATTATACATTTGCCGAAACCCACAGAATGTACAATACCAAGAGTGAACTTTATTTAAATTATAGACCTTGGTTGATTATGATGTACTAATCTACATTCATCAATTGTAACCAATGTGCCACTCTAGTAGGGGATGCTAATAATGGGGGACCTATGGTGTGTGGTACAAGGTATGTGGAAAAACCTCTATGCTTGCCTTTCAATTTTACTGTGAATTAAAAACTGCTCTAAAAAAAACAAAGTCTTAAAAAAAATCTGAACTGGACATCTAGTTAAACATGGTTAAAAACAAAGCCAAAAGCAAGTGTTAATTTGAGAAAAACAAGTGTGCAAGAAGAGAGCTATAACTATTTAATTTTGAACACTGTGTTATATATTTGCATATTATGATATGGAAGGAGAGAAATTATCATTTGAGAGAGCTAAATCCTCATTTACTATATGACAAGAGAACAGTGAGAAACCAGATATAGCAATTACAAGCATATTATGTAAAGTAAAAAATATAAATGCCAAATGATACATCTGAAATAGGAAAAGATTTGGTAGTAGATCGCTCTGTTTCATTAAAAGCCATCAGTAATATTTGATTTTGTAGAAATATATGAATGTATTCTTTTGAGAAAAAATAAATCCAAATGAAAGTAATATTGGGGAAAATCAGGATCCTTTAAAATGTCCCACAAGCTTCAAGTAGATCAAGGCAACATAATGGAGGCTTACTGTAAGGTTAAATGCTTCAAGTATTTTAATATATTTTAATACTAACAAAAATAGAGGCTGGCTTATAGCAGTTTGCAGCCTTGGTACGGCAAATACTTTCAAAAGAATAATTGCTTGCTTCCCTTACTCTAAAAAATCCAGTCATATACGTAGTTACATTTTTTAAGAAGCCTTTTTGTGTGGGAGTGGGGAGGTTTGGGGGAGTTCTTCATTTTGCAAAATTATCTCAGCTTGTATTCTTGGATTCAGGCATTTCATCCTATTTTGAAAGACAAATTCCACGTTGACAACAGTTGGGTGGAAGTAATAAGGCAAAGCAATAGGAAGCAAGCCCTAACAAATATGCCTTCAGTCTTCACAAACTTATGAAAACAAGCTTCAGGGGGATTGCTTCTGATCCCCAGAACATAAGACTTCGGATCCGAAAGATCAAACATCACACCTCTCTGTGGTACCTGCCCAGATTCTTTTCCGCTAAACACAGGCACTGCCTCTTCCAAACCAGATGGTCTCGGCAGGGTCTGCATTTTTGTTAAGAGAGCCTCACATATTAACCTCTTCAACCAGACACATCGGAGAGTTAAGTGCTCTGTCTGGCAGGCAAACAAAAGCTCCACGTTTCCTGTCAGGCCACCAGCTATTAATGAGGGAGGCAGATCTGCCCACTTCCCCAGCGCGGCCTTGGCTGACAGCTCTCTGTCGCTTCCTGGCTCCCTGCTCACGTTTCTTCTGATTCTGTTCTCTACACAATTGTGATTTACATGAATATATAAAGCTATTCAGGAAAATTCTTCTTGGGAATCACTCTAAACATCAAAACTGATTCTTTTTTTTTTTTTTTTTAGAAAAACACACATTTTACATAAAGCTAATCTTGAGTTAAAATGTACATAAGACATTATGCTGAATTTTTTTAGTTTGCCAAAATATCTTCTTTTTTATATGAATCATATAAAAAGCTTGCACAGCTTGGCACCACAAATATCATAAACACTTCTTTTTTCTCATTTGGGACACTAACCACTTTTGATTTTTATTGTCACTTCTTTTCTTCCTTCCTTCCTTCCTTCCTTCCTTCCTTCCTTCCTTCCTTCCTTCCTTCCTCCCTCCCTCCCTCTCTCCCTCTCT